ACTAATTCGTGTACTGCATGTATGTATAACCTTTGGTGAATATTTAAATGGAAGGTCACCAAAATTGAACCTCATCTCAGCATTCTAAGAAGAGAGCAAGAGAGAATTCTTTACCTACACCTCTCTTATTCTTCTTACCTTTAAAACTACAGCTGGAAAGAAGGTCTCACCAGAGAGTCCTTGAGGTATATCAAAAGCTTTCCCAAACAGGCTGCCTGAAAGAAGATAGCCTCACACATATGGACAACAATAAGATAATTAGATGCAACAATGCAAAAATAAACTTCACTAATAATGTTTTAATATTAAATTAAAGCAAATGTCCTGAAGCCTTCAGTCTCACTATTGTTCCTCAAGGGACATACATACAACACATGTCCCTCCCTCCCCCCAATACTATTATTAGTCCTTCATACCATTCTTGCTAAAACTGATGGAACCGTTCTCAAGATCAATATAGCAGCCAATGGTGTCACCTTTACCAAAAGACTACCTCATACAATGGAGAGAACAACTGATTACAATCACAATAAAGAGTCTCACCTCTCCATAGCTGTCAAACTGGTTGCTCCAGGACTTCTTACCAGTTCCTCCAAACCCAAACCCAAACTTGTCCTTGCCTAAATTTCCAGTCAATACAAAAGGTACAATTGAGTACACTTTGGGTAGAGTACCTAATTCCAGTGAGGCAAGCTGGGTCGACCATCCAACACGACACAATCCTTCATCAGTTACTGTAGCCTCATAATAATATTTACCTTATAATAATGAAGGGAAGGAGAAATATTAAAAAAAGGTAACTTAAGTCAAACTTATATGCACATACAGAAGATTGTATAATCCTTGTGTTGGTTTATTATGTTAAGTGGGCGATTTATTATTGAGGATAACAACTAAGTAGCTGTTACTCCATTATAAGATTAAAGTTAAGGCACATTTCTAATTTTACTGTTGTTGCAAAGATAGTGCAATCTCCTGTATACACGGATGCTGACTGGATTTATTCATAGATAGTGGATATTCCAGTGGGTTATTCCCTATCTATAATGCAATGTCTATTACCTTCATTTACTCCAAGGTTAGTCCTACAGCCATGCCATTGCTTATGCTCACGACACTGACACAGTAAACCATCAGGTGATATGGCTACAGTTAAAAATAATAATGCAGATAATAATACATTATTGATATCAATGGTACATTGGGAGAAAAGCAATTAAACTGTTTACCTATTCATTACAATAAAAATCCCAGTTCTCATCATAATAAAATTTTTTATCATACTTAGTGAGAAATATTGATTATTGAATTTCAATGAAGTTCCATGAAAAAGGGTCAACTTCACCTTAAAACAATTACTAATCTTTATTGGGTCTAATTAATGTGATATAAAGGATTTTATCATCCAATGAAGACTCAGCTGCTTCCTCTACTCTCAGCTGCAATAATGTACAAATGTACCATCATCTCTCTCCTCCTCTCTCTCTCTCTCTTCCTCTCTCCTGGCCGCTTCCCTCTCCCAACACAGCTGCTAGAAATTAAGGAGCATAAACTGATTAGTCTTACCTAGAGACTCTCCTCTGTCATGGGGATTGAGTCCAACTGTAGCTACAAATGAAAAGATCAGAGACTATAAAATCAAATTAACGAGTATCATTACAACCAAGCAAACAATGGATATTTTGCCAGCAAATGGGAACACAGATCAATCAAAAACACAGCCCCAATTAAGGATTGTTATTTTTAGAGGACAAAATGTACTAGGAGAGTGAGTGCATGGTGTACCTGATTGTTCGATCTTGCTCTGGCCTCTCCCGCCCATTTTCTCATCTCTCAATGCTTCGTATGTTATCTGTATCACAGGGAGTGAGAATGCCTGGTTGGAGGAGGAAAATACTTTACATGACAAAAAATTACAAATTAATTTTTAAGTAATATATAGCCATTGACAACCAGGACTGATGACTAATTCATTGCTACTAAGGAAGGCTTTTTACTGTCATTTCCTTTTCAAAATTACAAGTACATGTATGTGGCCTGATGTCATTATGCTATGCAAAAAGTTTGAGCTGATTCTGATGAGTATCCTGTACCATAGTAATTATAGTCCATGCTTTTTTTGAAAAATTTTGCTTCCAAATCACCCCAAAATTTAATACATTTTCTGACACATATTGATGTCCTTATGTTGTGTAAAAAGTTTGAGCTGATTCCAACTAAAATTTTAAAGTTATGAACATTTTCAAAAACATGCCAATTTCTGAAAAATACCCTGTACTATAGCCCATGGTTTTTTTTCAAAAATTGGCTCCAAAATCACCCCTATTTTTATTACATTTTCTGATACATATTAATGTCCTTATATTATGCAGAAAGTTTGAGCTAATTCCAATTTAAAGTTTCTGAGTTATGAGTCTCTGAAAATCCAAAAACATAAAACTTATGTCATGGCCAAAAACTTATGCTATGGTCAAAAACTTATGTCATGGTCAATGACATAATGATGGACTATACATACAGACTATAGTAATTGTGCTGGCTCCTCCCACCCTCTCAGTATTAAGAGGCTGCTACACGAGACGAGTACTAGACTTACTCCTGTCTTTCCACTCCCAGTCTCAGCAGCCATTAGTACATCCCCACCTCCTAGTATGAGTGGAATGGCTTCTGCCTGTACATCAGTGGGGAGGCTATGATTTATGAATAAAATATATACAAATTAAATAAAGCAATCCATTAGTATTACAGCCAGTCCACTTCTTCTAGCGCTTGTATTATTTCTGGCATGACCCCAAGTTCTAGCAGTTTTTAAAAATAAAGATAGTTCTAAAATTTATTTAATTCCCATAGCATCAAATTTACCTGAGAAGGCAGTCATCTTGAAATCATTAAAAGTAGGCGCGGCTTGCGTTGAAATGATTACAATTTTTGGCATGATTGCATTATCATAATTAATTTTTAATAGCAAGATTTAATAAACCAAATTAGTTTAATAGAAACAACTTAATTTATTAAGACTAGAGAGGGATAGTAATGATTGAATTTTGCAATAATAATAATAATAATAATAATAATAATAATAATAATAATAATATAATAATAATAATAACAATAGTTTTGTCTGGAAGTGGAGGGGAAAGATTGTGACTGATGAGTGAGGGATTGAAATGAAATATTGATAATGATTTGTATCCAACACACTAGTAACAAAAATAAATTAATAATTATAAATAATAATAATTGAGCTGTCCTATTTTTATGACATTGCCAAGGAGCTCAATGATCAAAAAATTTAAAGTTCACAATGAAGTATGAAGGCTTGAGTGGAGGGAATGAGAGGAAAAAGAGAGAGACAGATGATATTGATAACCTATCATTGTCGGATGATTTGAAAAAACAACTTTGTCTTTGTCAGGAAGAGAGAGAGAGAGAGCGAGCAAGGAGGTGAGACAGAGAGAGAGAGAGGAAAATCTAGCAGTGTGGGGCATATCTTGTCATTGATTGCAGGTATGAATTAGTAAAGTGACCAGCTCCTGTTGGTGCACCTGTTCCAGTGGGTGTCTGATGACTTACAATGCCCATTGCTGCAAAGGGTGACTCAGGAGTGTAGCTGTGTATCGGGTTTGGAGTCGGGCATGACGTTGGAATGATGGAGGGAGATTGGGGCGGAGAGTGGAACGTTGGTGGTGAGAATGAGTCTACGGGTGAGCTTGTCCAGCTCTCGTTTCCACCGGTTGATGGGTGCATTTTCCTTGCTGGGGGACTAGAGAGAGGACTGCTGGTTGATTTCTTTGGACTGGAGGCTCCTTTGCCATCACTCGGAGCCGGAGAGGAGACAGGACTCTCTTGATCTTCAGAGTCTTTGCTGTCCTTCTGGTTTGCAGCTGCTGCTGCCTTTTCTGCTTTTCTCCATTTGGCTCTACGATTCTGAAACCAAACCTATTCAGAGAGAGGAGGAAATGAATTATAATGAAACGATATCAAGTTACAATGAAGCATACCACTATGATACACTATGCAGTAATGATGAGTGTGTATTATTATTATAACTTACTTGTACTCTTGCTTCTGTGAGGCTGATTTTCATAGCTAGCTCTTCACGCATGAAAACATCTGGATAGCGTGTCTTTTCAAAAGCTTTCTCCAGCTCTTCTAGCTGATGGCTGGTGAAATTGGTTCTATGACGCCTTTGCTTTCCTTTTCTGTAAGGCTCAGAGCGACCAATAGACATTGATGAAGGAACCATTGGCCCAGCAGAAGGATGGTGCAAGTACATGCCTGCATGACTGTTGGGAGCATGGACTGTTGCTAGAGATGTGGAATCTGTGGAGGGAAATGAAGAATAATTGTAAAGCAAATGAATTATGATAAATTGGCTTGTAATTGCATGATAAAATGGCATAATCACTTACTCAATGGAAGGAGGCCGGCATGCCCAGGATGGCTGTAAACCAAAGGGTTGATCTGTGAGAATGGAGGAGAGCAGGAGGACATTGACATCTGTCCACCAGCACAAGAGTTCTGCATAGACAGGGCCGATACACCTGGTTTCTGCTCCGGGCCTGCTCCAGGCATCAATGGCATGTCATAGGCCGGAGGGCTTGTGAGAGATCCGGGAGAGTCTAGGCTGTAGTGTCGACCACCAAACTTTCCTGCTGGGTTTCCAGTAGCCATGGGGAACCGGTAGTCAGATGGGTGAACTATGAGGACGCTGCTGTTCTGCATTGATGAAGAGGAGAAAGAGTTTGAAGGCAGACCGTTTGCCGTATTGCTAAGGTATTGGTGAGGAGACTCCAGAGTGTACTTATATTATACACGGCTTGACTGTTTTACACTCGAGGAGTGTAAACTGGTGCAGATTGCTTCTAGGTAAAAGAAGAGAGGAATAGCAAGAATACTGTGGACTCAAGAGCCAGCAGATCATGCTTTTATAAGGAGAATCCAAGCGCGCTTGTACGGAACAAAATTAATTAATTGGATTATATTAACTGGGAGCGGAGGCGAGCGGTTATGTTTGTTGTGTAAACGCAGTACAATATAATGTGGTTTATTACTGCTTTATGCTTTAAAGAGAACTCTGCTGACACACCAAAATGCAAATAATAATAAATTAACTTATCATCATCAAATAAACAACAACAATAACAACAACAATACACATTAGTGGTAAGTACTTGTGGTAGTGCAGCATTGCAGAAAAAATGAATTTCCACACTGAAAGTGTTCCGTGAGAATATTTCCAGGTGGGTAAAAGCACAAGGCTGTACAGTATATTGTATCAGTATAGAAAGTTATACGAGAACAATGAGAAAGCTGAATTCAGAGGAATATATCCAATTCATCACGAACATAATGATTTCGTTCATCATTTAGAATCCTAGGATAGCCTGATACAAGAGAGTCCTAAAAATAGAGAGAGAAGGGGGGGGAGAGGGAGAGAAGGAAAAGGGAGAAGGAGAGAGAGAGAGAGGGGGGAGAGTGTGAGAGAGAGGGGGAGGGAAGGTAAGAGAAGGAAATAGTAGGAAGAAAAGGAAAGAGAGGGAAAGAAATAAAAGAAGGAAAAATGAGGAACATACAATCACAATGGTGTGTGTGTGTGAGTATTTAATCTAATATATATGTACATGCACATGTACACCATACCTGTGAGCCAATGTACAGATTATTATACACCTTCCAATAGACCTCTCTGACCCTGCGAGCAGGATGAAACAAGCCCTGAAGGGAAAAAAGAGAACACAAATTTAAAAAATAAAATAAAAGGGAGAGGTGGTGGTGGGGAGGGGGAGAGAGGTTTGAGCCATAAGAAGCTGTACTTATGAGGGTGAACGATGAGATAAAGATTCCACAAAGTAGTACTCCCCCACACTCACTCATCAAATGTGGTTTACACTGCTACAACCCAATGATGCTTCCCGATACTCTCTCACACACACAAGTATACATATATCCCTCCTCATTACTGTACTCCCTAACCTGTAGTGTGTATAGCAGGACCCTCACGGGACCAATGGAGACTCTCATACCGTCAGTTGCATCATGGAAGGACTGCATCATGTGTGGAGCAGTCTCAAATATATTAGGCCAGACACAGTTCATGAGGTGAACAAGAGCATCCTCGCATCCAAACCCATAGACACCCAGTGCCATGTGTTTCACTGCCCAGCAGGCTGTCTGTCTATGGACCAGATCCCTATCGAGAGAATTATAATAGTCATGACGTGTGATATGATGGTGGTGGCGGTACGGGTAGGCTTAAATAATTATATGGCACCTGATATCTGTTTTAAATCTCAATTAGCCAATATACTCACTCGCTCACTTAGCACACTCATCAACAGTTTGACCACACAGAGCAGTGTCAGAGTAAACATTGCATTAGTACCTTTTTCATAAGAAATTATTATAAGACCTCCTCCCTCCCCATACTACAACATTAAAGGCTCTCTCACTATCTAAGTCCAATTACACCCAAATACCTTTAAATGATACATTAGTGCCTACTACTTCAAAATAATGCAATTTCACATGTATATAATTATACACGTACAATTATAATGGTCCAACTTGTCAATATAAATTAGCAAAATAAAGCTAAAATGGAATAATGACTGCTAATAATGGATTTGGGGCAATTTTGAAACAGTTACTAGCGCATTATTATTGCAAATTTGTGTGTCAAAGTGAATAAATAAATGGGCAAAGAAGTTCAAAACAGTTTTGTATTGTACATTAGATTAGAGCTGACTATAATCGAATTAGGCAAAGTGAAATTCATTCATGTTTATAAATGATGAACAACAGAATGCAAAATAACAATACACGGTCCCTGAATGGATCTGGAGTGAATAGAAGTGAAGGAAGAGGAAGAACATGTGATTATTATAATACGCTCCAGACTTCATTAGATAACAAAGCATGAGAATATCTAAGATCACAAAGGCAAGCATCCTCCAGTAGAACCCATACCAGATCAACAAGGCTCATAGCAGCGTAATGAAGTAATAGACAGATATGCCCACAAGGCATCACACACTTACTGAGGGATTCACTTGAGTAACTGTGATAAGTGTTCTCTCACACACTCACACACACATTAATGGCTATACTTGAATCACCTCCATTCATACATGCATGTACATGTACATACATGTACAATAAGATCTCTTTTACTTAGCTTTGTATGTGTGTGCAAGTGAGTGTTCTCTGTCTTTCTCTGTCTCTCTCTCTCTAACCTGTCCATTAGAGCATCTTCAAGTAATGGTGTCACAGCATATATGTAGTCCTTTCCCATCTCTCCGATGTACTCAAATAGAAATGACAAGGACTTGAGGACGCCATTTTGAACGTTGAGCTCAGGGACACGATACTCGTTCATGAGGGCAGGGAGGACAGTGAACGGGGCACAAGTCTCAGCAACTATGGCAATGGCTACCGTTGTACAGACACGATTCTGACGCTCTTGCACCTTGAGGTTATTGAGTAAAGTTGCCAAAACATCTTGAGGGCTGGAGAGAGAGAGAGAGAGGAGAGAGAGATAAAGAGAAGTAGATAAAAATGAAAATTATCAAAAGTCAACAGAAGTAATATGATATTCCTCCTAACTCAAGCTGCTATAGTACACTTAAGACATTTCCAAAAAACAATCAGTTGTATAGGGCATTATCTACAAATAATTCCCTTTATCTACCTCACAAGTCTTAACTAAGAATTTCTCACAATCTCTCTTAACTAAGAATTTCTCACAATCTCTCTTAACTAAGAATTTCTCACAATCTCTCTACATCTCACTCCCTCCCTCTCTCTCAGCTCACCCAATGGCCTTAGCAATGTAGCCAAAAGTGTTGACTGTGGCACGTCTAATAGCTTTCTTGTGTGCTTTGAGTAGCTCCAGTAATTCAAAACAAATCCTCATCCACTCCTTAGCAGGTACGAACTCAGCCCCTCTGTCAGCAATCCTACCAACAAGGTCAATACAGTTCTCTTGAACCTTTTCATGTCTAGGGAGGAAGGAAAGAGAGAGAGGAAATGAGTTGAACACATTCAAATGATGTCAATATCAGTGCAACTGCAATGTGATACCCATATGTAACACAAAACTATAATAGTTCAAAATGAGGGAAAAAAAGAAATCTGTCATAAACAAATGCGAACCCAATCAAGGCTCACAGCACTGCAGTGGTTTGTAAAAGTGGTAAAATGAGACAACTATGATAACACACCCAGACTCCATCTCTCCTCAAGAAACCAACAAAGCAAACCCAGCATGTACACACACTTTATACATGAGGTGGGCAAAAGACAAAACAAGCATTATGCATGTATACATGCAGTGGATCAAGGACTATAACATTACTTCATGCAATAAACCAGACAAGTAAGACAGACAGAAAGAAGCAGACAAGCTTCATTAGGATATACAGTCTTTATTAGAGCAAAGGGGATCAGGCAGGAGAGAGAAAGAAGAGGGAGAGAAAGAGAGGAGAGATAAATAAGCTATATATAAAAATATACATGATGTAACAGAGAGAAAAGCAGCAACAATAATTGTCAATAAAGGTAGTCAAAAAAAAGTAATGGACGACTAAATGTATTACTACAACCATCAAACATAACAGATTAATTAACACAACACAATTACAACACAAATAACACAAATACCAAATATCGAAGTAGTAAATGCTTCAAATACAGTCACCAACCGTGCTCCCTGTTACATAATCCAAATTAAGTTTCCAAATAACAAAACTTAATAACAGGCTAATGAGCTAGTGCCTCTTGGAACAATGCTTGCAGGCCAATCAATGGATTATCCAACCTGTTAATGTATGCTTATTCAATTAGTGGGAAAGGTGATTCAAATAATTGGTGGACCGCAACATACTACAACTAGTGAAGCAATCATGTAATTGAGTACACTCAGTCTGCATACCTTGTCAGTACGCTAACTGTCCCACTACTCTAAACCTGCACCTATCAAAAGAGTGGAGTAAGAATTCCACATATCACGAGCTCCCTCTTTACTAATTGCTCTTACTAGTAAACTCACCCTCTACACGAGCTAATAGTACGCTAGTTAGTACTACACAATGCCTCGTTGATGAATGGTAGGCTGATCTGAGAGAATTAATGACCATTACTGTGTATGTAATCTAATAAAGAGTTTCTTTCATTCCATTTGTAAGAGAGAGAGAGAGAGAGGGATAAATAGAAAGAGGAAGTAGTGAGTATAGTTTGTTAACAAGCAAACACGAATGACACTAATTGCATGTGGAATATGGTTGAGTAAACCTAGAGTGTGTTTCTGATACTTCGACTCATTACTCTTAATTCAATAAGAGAGTAAGAGATTAAGAGATAGAGAGAGGGGGGGGAGATAAAGAAAAAAAATTAGAGGAAGAGAAAAGTAAACAAACAAAATTAATTGTAACACTTGAATGCTCAGACAGAATTAATTACAAAATGATAATTAGTGTCATAATCTAATAAACTCCCTTCCCCTCTCCATCTACCAAAGGCACTGTTGAGACAATGACTTAAGTACAATAATGACTGAGGTCAACTAATAGACTCAAACCTAATTAACAGTGTACATCAGTACAGTGACTGAAAAGCCTCACAAAGTCACTCCTCATCTTTTATTCTTATAAATCAGTTTGCTCTAAGGCTTCTGCTTCTGCCACACTAATCACCTGCTGGCATATCTCTCCAATACAACCCTGTACTGACTGTATCTCAGGCATGAGCATGCATGCACATACAAAGTGATAAGATTATACTGTAAAGTGATATACAAGGGCTCATGCTCAGAGTGTAGTATATATTTACATTGAATATCAATGACACTGCACAATGTGTGTGTGTGTGTGTAGCATCTTACAAAGAAGGCAAGTGAATAGTAAGCAAGAGCAGCACTTGAAGATCAAGTAACATGTGGTATTCCAACCACAGTCTAGACCTGTATATTGTACAGTGTAAATAAAACCACCTGAACACTCAAGGCAACCCTGCATCAGATATCTTGTTTGTTTCAACAACAACAACACCAACAATCCAGCATTTACATATGTGTATGCACACGCATAAAAACACGGAGTGATTGGAGTCATTGATTTATGGTTAAAACTCTCTATGATTGTATTACTAATCTACACTTATTCTTCCTCCTATAGTTCTCCCACTCTCTCTCTCCTTATTCACAGTAGGGCAGATATAGGTATTTCCTAGCAACTAACATCGCGTCACTCCATCAGGCAATCCTAATTACCGTCCCCATGAGAGTAGAGGCCTCCCCACCTCCAGACAGCAAGGGAGGAAAGAGAACCAACTTATACAAACTAGTAGTAAAACGAACAACTTGGCAGCTACACAGCCCACACACTGGAATGGGAACACAGATTAACATATACATGGGAAGAGGAACAGCCAAAGACATCTATGATAATAATAATAATAATAATAATGATATATATGCATAATGCCCACGTAATTCTACTGTACATGTATGTGTACATATACATGTATATTTGCGGGCTATAGTAAGTATAGTCCTATGAGAATCTACTACGCAAAGGGAATTTAATAATAAAAAAGTTGGAGACATAGAAGCAGACATGAGAGGGAGGATGAGGGAAGGGTAGAGTTCAACTACATGTATCACATATTCCAAAACTGAGACACACACAGACTATAATGTACATGTACATGCACATGATGATAGCCGTGAGTCATGATTGAGAGAGAACGGATCATTAGGTACTAGACAAAGTACCGAATTCTTTAGAGATAAAACATGTAAGCATTGAAGAGAAAAGTTATGATAGCCATTGGTATGGTTGTAATATATACCACACACATACCAGCACGATCTCTGACATGCAATGTAGAATCAGAAAACTAGAAAGTAGACGAATATGTATATACATGTACATGTATGTGGCTGAGAATAACTTTTATATATAATAGCAGAAGAGATATGGAATAGATACTAGAAGTAAAACATAGAAAGATATAACAATATTAATATATAAACAGAATCACAATACGACGCATCACTAAATATTAAATATTTTGCTATCCATTACATCAAATCTACCAACACTTTAATAATAATTGCAAATAGCAGAATCTCCTAATACAATGCATGCAGCTATTGATAGTGTGCATGTGTGCCTGTGTAGTCTGGATATCTCCCACTGTCCCTATATTATTATTGGGCCCACATGTACTTTCATTAATAAGTGCAAACATACACGCATGTAGCAAGCACACGCAGTCACACAAACAAGTGAATGGTAGTAATGCGTATTGTGACTGGAGAGATCTTGTTATGGCAAGTTGATCCAATTAACCGAACACTGGAATGAGTTCTGATGTCTGGACAAGTTGCATTATCATACAAGAGTACACCACAGACACACACAGTATACTGTACTGCAGTCACTCTAATACAGCCCCAATGCATTGAGACACATAAACTACATACTGCTTTAATGACACTGGGCCCTATACTTGTATTATAGGTACATATGTGACACCAACAGATTAAGAAGGAGAGTCATACATACAGTGGTCATAAATGTACTTGATAAGCTTTTACTTCCTGACAACAAGTAGCTGATATCATAGGGTGGGGAACAGACACGTACACACATACACACCAGCCACTCACGTATCTGGACCAACAGGAGTAGACAATATGACAAAAGAGTGGGCGGAAACAGAGACAGATAGTAAGGGATTTCGTTTGAGTAGTAAACGTCAGCCATAGAGTTGTATACACCCAATACTACATACACACACACACACACAACAAACAAACATACACATATATACGACATAATACACTACATACAAGTACAATATGCTGCGGCTGCTCCTGGTATAAACAATGTGTTGTCTATGACAAGGTTGATCCCCTCTAGTGCTTTCAAGGACACATTCTGTAGTCTGTGTCGAGTAATTATAGAGAGTATCTTACCATTAATGGGCCGTATTTACTGAGGCTAAGAGTAAAAGGAGGAAGAGGAGGAGGAGTGGGTGAGAGAGAGAGAGAGAGAGAGAGAGGGAGGGTGAGTATAATGTAGTGACAGAGAGTGAGGGAGAGGATGGAGAGAGGAGAAAGTTCGGGGAGAGAGTTTACTAGTAAAGGAAGGAGTAAAGACAAAGACTGCTAGTGTGTATGATGGTTCTAGACATGATTCAATTAACACTTATCATCTTTACACAACAATGGGAGAACTGTTGATCAATAGTTCTAGTCATAAGTGCCAACTGAGCCAATGAAGCATGTGACCACATCCTACACGTACCTCATTAGCAAAAACATGCACGCACGTATAACCGTCAGCTTTGCTTGTTGGGATATCATTAGTAAACTAGAGACCAATTTCTAGTAAATTGCGGTATACTCACCTGTTTTTTAGTATAGGGGTGAGGCGTGGTAGTAGATCTTTGATGGGTGGAGTCATCCTCGTCATACCAATAACATTAACGATTGCCTGAAAAATATAACAATAATAATAGATAAAATTTTTTAATATATTATATCTATATGCTCGTGCTATAGTACATGAAAAGTTTGAGGTGAATTCGAGCACAGAGATTTTAAAGACAAGAGCCAAATTCAAACTACGAGATATCTCTAGTTCATTGCAATTAGTTTGAGCTGGTCAAAATAAATTTCAATTAAACTTGTTCTAAATTTGGCTCAACCCGCAAGACCATGATCTATTATATAGTACAGCTAGGGTATAATTCATCAAAATGGCCAGAATACTAAGAAATAGAATAAAGAGATTAGTTTCTGTACGTCAGCATACCAAGAACCAGTGGCTCACATGAGATGAGTAGAACATGTACGACATACATGCACATGTGTAAATAAGGTCATGATGTCACTAATTTAATATCCACTGCTTTATAGACTGTAGGATTAGTGGTTTCAAAGGACAATATTCCACCCACTTAAACTGATTCACTACACAGAACTTCAAGGAATAATTGGGAAATATTATCCACATAAGTATAGACATGAGATCACACCACAGAGGCCCATCAAATCCTATCATATCTATCTATCTATCTAGCTCCAATGCAATCCATACTATAACACACAAATACTATAACACATAATGACAGGGTTTCCCCTGGATTTGGGCACAGTGCTCACATGCAGCTTCATGTCAGTGGATTGTAAGACCCTGTACTATTATAGCACAGGATATTTCCACAAAAATAACAAAAGAGAATTATCCATTTTCACAATTTTTCTGATACATACACATATGCACTTATGTTGTCCATCAACTTTGAGCTGATTCCGATCAAATTTAGAGTCCTATAAACTTTTTAAAGTTGTTCAAATGCCATGTAGCTGTCTTGTCAGCTCATGAAGTATACTGTTTAGCTCTCTCAGCATACTTTATGGGACACTCTAAAAATAAACATATCCCACATATTCTACAGGAACGCTGCATATCCCATAAAACACGATCTATTTTTCTCTCTCACGCTCTCTCTACGATAAAGTGTGCATTATTAAAAGAATTAGAACAGATACTTGAGTAATTAAGAGAATGAGTACGTGTGTGGTAACTACAATTAAGAGACTCTAGGAGTACGCAATGAAAGAATGGAAACTAACCAGCTACAAGGGTGGAAACTATATACTACGTGTTATTTTAAAAAGGAGGAAAGACACTGGGCTAATAGTGCTATCCTGTCTAAAATTAACTTACTATGTAATTCTATTATAGCTTGATACACAAACACACACACACACACATACACTAGTAAACTAAGTTGTGCGTGTGTGTGTGTGTGTGTGTGTGTGGACATGCATGTACATCACTTTCAACAAGTGCTGGTCATTATTATGTGCTCATTCTTACTTTTAATCCTCCCAGTATACTGCCTAGCACTTCAGGATACTCTTCACCGAGATACTCATAAAGCACAACACCCAAATGACCCAAGAGTTTCTCCTACAATAAAAAGAAGCAAAAAATGAAATTTGCTCATGCAGTGCAATTAACCTAAATGTACATGTACGTTAATTATTATTGCTTTCTTTTCTCATGGCTCTTCCCTTTTTTATTCTCCTCTCTAATCTCCCTCTTTCTCTCTCTCTCCTTCCCTCTCTCTAATACATACACAGACATTCTCTTTCTAATGCATTCTCAAAGAAATCAGGTTACACATGCAAATGATATGATTCAATCATTACTATTTACAATGTACTTTTAAAACCAATTAGGAGAACAACAACAAGCAAGAGCTAATTGGTTAGATTCACAAATAATCACAAAGAGATATCAGATTACAGAGGCCACCCAAAGACCAGACAAGCACATGTACATGTACACAAATTGTAATTTCATATAACACGGAATGCTAATCCTAGCTCCATTACTACAGATGGACCACTAGAGTAGGTTGTAGCTACACCAGACATGTATTCACGCAGACATACATTCAGGGCATGCTGTCGCTCCACACGAAAATAATATTAAAATCATAATTAGATTTGCGAGTTGCATGACCTCTTAAATCTTGATGGAGGCAAAATTTAGCAATTCAAAACATTAATTATATTCATAGACGCATGCATGTACATGCATGTATACCATGCATGTACAGGAAATGAGTGTCTATACTCTATTGTAATGTAGAGAGAGGTTCATAGTGCGCTCTGAAGCCACTGCATGCGAGAAGGGTTCAAGTGACTAGGCCTTGAAGTGGTAATGTAGGGGAACAAAACTCGGTCCAAATACATAATGACTATCGTCAATAGTATTATAATAAGAATGGAACAATATAATTATCATAGGGATTGATATATTAAATAATGTGTAGTGAATGTAATGTAATAAGGGAAACTGAGAGGATTAAAATAAATAAGTAAATAATGATGAGCTTTATATGCATCCATTTGAATAAGAAATGAAGCAGACAGACCAAAGGACTGGGTGTGATTCAGTAGATAAAGGTTTTAGTGAT